TAATCAGAAGTCCGCCCAGTGTGCATTCCGACTGCGACCCTCTCCTAGCTCTGAATCCTTGGACCTCCATCTCGACGGGCTTTCTTTTTTTCCGCACCTTGATGTTACTTTGTCATCAAATCTCTCCTCTTCACTCGATATTGAGACTATTTTCACTAAGTTGCGGAAACGTTTTTATTACATTCTTCGGCAACGATCGGGCGAAGGACCCCAAACACACACACACACAGGACCATCCAAAGGTGCCTGTCTTACGGAAAAGGTGATAATAGGGGTTTAAATGACGGGGGCAATGTACGCACAGAGGAATGACAAAATAAGAATAGACAATCGATCAATTGGTCTTTCGGGCGGGAAGGTTTTAATGAACTGACATATAGCAACCGAAATTAAGCAGGACAAATGAAAAAATAAACATTTAGGATAAGATGTGGTTATGTAGCCCCACCTGATGGACACAATACTGTTGGTGTTGGGGGTTAGGGCAACTAATCCTCAACCATTTAAATTACAACCGCGCATTCCCAGTAACTTTGCTTTTGCATACAGCTACTTGATTTCGTCGCCTGTACGTTCCCGCCCCCATCTGCAAAATAACCTATTACCCCCAGTCCCGTATTATAGGTGGCTGGGGTTTATTTACTTCAGGTGGGGCTACATAACCACTTCTGACCAAATTAAGTGTCTACAACGAATGTTTCTCAACTTTCTGAGCTGAAGTTATTGTAGATAATCCGCCTGACTGTCTACAACGACCGCTTGTCAACTCTCTAAGTTGAGGTCATTGTAGATAATGCACCAGGTTTGTCTACAACAGACGACCTATCCTTGAACAATGAAACATCGTGTCCGACTAAAACTCATTTGAATAAGTATAATAGGCATTTTCTTATGCCACAGATGCTTGGGGTCCCTCTCCCGATCCTTACTTATTCTTCTTTTACGTTCTCACCCACCTCAGTTCTTAATCTGGCGATTCATAGATGCCTGCGTCTTTTTTCTTGATCCTTATTGTTATTATTTCTTCTTTGCTCAAAAAGAAATGTACATTTTAAGGCGAGTCCTCCAAATGCTCTCTTCTGCTTCCGGTGATACTTATGTCTTTTGACCGAAATTACCATACTGTGATATTCCAAAACGGTCGGCCAATTTGCTGGTCAAATTCTGAATGAAGTTGCTTATTTCCAACTCGTCTCTATCATAGTTGTTCCTTTCTGTGCAAATCTCTTCGATTCTTCAGTAAATCTGTTAACTTATATTATGCCCACGGTGAATGGAATACTTTTTTGCTGAAAATTTTGAATCTACACTTTCACAATAAATCGAATTTCTCTCTCTCTCTCTGAACTCATATACTTCCAAAAATCTCAGATAAATAGTATGAATTGTTACGGAGGTCTTAGATCTAAAATGACATGTATTTCAGATCGTATGGAAACTATGACTCGAAAGACCGCATGTTGGCTTTTTATTAGTATTGCTTTTGAGATAACGTTAAAACAGTCCTTCAACCGTTAGTGAATATACTAATGTTTGAAGCATTTTTTCCCCGGTATGAATTGAAAACAAGCATGTACAGAATTTATTGGGGCCAATAAATTTCATGTTGTTAACAGTTTGTCTCCCCTTTTTCCTTTTTGATGCTTATATGGACGTCTTATCTGATTATTGATTATTTTGAACTTTGAACTTGCTCCTATGCACTGCCATTCTGTACAAATTCATACTGCTGTGCGCTTTCATTCGTTACCTATGTTATGCAGAGACGGGTTGCCGTTGAAAAGCCGTCATGAAATTTATTGGTCCCAATAAATTCTGTACATGCTTGTTTTCAATATACTAATGATTTGGAATTCTTTGATGTCTGAAAAGCTGTATGATTAAACCTTTGCTGAATATCCATAGTGGATTTAAACTCAAAGTACTGGGGGAATAGCATGATAACCTTTAATCCTAATCGTTAAATAGCATGCGTCTATTCGACATCTTCCTGATAAACAGACTAGTTACTTTTCTGTCTACTACCACATTCACTGCGTTTGCTTTCATTATGTTCGCCTAGATTTGTCGGACCAACTTGGATAGGAAGCCATGAGTTTGATTTTGTATTTAAGTAATTATGTTCCATGTCAACTTGAAAACTTTATGTATACGTTTATGTATACAACTCTTGAGTATACTTGGTAATAATTACTTTCTGCAAAATTTAATAAACTCGGTTACGAAGTGAAGTTTGTAATAATAATGATAATTTTTTATTATTATTATTACAAAATTCACCTGACTAAGCTGAGGCATCTACGAAGCTGAAAGCCATAAAAAAGTTTTCAGGAAGATTGAAAATACACTAGTTATTTAGATTCAACATGAAGGCCGCAGTTTGAGGGCTCTTCCTTCTGACTCTTGCCTCGAAAACGCAGTGATGACGGAAGCAGCACCCTATATTTCAAGTGTACCTGCGTAAGTTATTTTTTGGGTTGCACTCAAAAGAAACAGTCATCTATTGGGATATTCTGCCTTTCAGAACGAGTCAATTTCTATTTGTAAATTTTTCATTCACATTCACCTAGACGAAAAATCCACCTTGAGACCTGATGGCCGAGTAGACTGATGTCAGCAGTTTATGTCTCTAACTGTCGCATCTATGTGACCCTGGTTTATGCTCTGGTAAATCCGTTGGTGCAACAAGGAGCACTTCAGATAACTTACATCGTGATTTGAATATGCTGAGATGCACAAATCTAGTCTAGTCTTGCAGTTAGACAAGAAGCCACGCATGTATGCAGAACTGCAGTTGCAAAGTGGAGTTCAGGTTAAGTTTAGGTGTTGCTGCTGGCGCACGCGTTTCTGGCAGAGCCATTTTAATTTGAAATTTGAATGCTCAAGGTCACTGTGCGCGAGAAGGTAAGGCTTTCGATCTATAACGCACCACAGAGGTTGTGCGGTTGCCACGTAAACAGGCTGTCAAGCATCAGACGGCATTGCTCCCAAGCACTGGTCTAGATGTTTCATGCGTGATCGTCCACGTAGATTTCATACAAAACTTAGACCGTGACAAGGTTTGTAAACAAAAATATTTTTTCAGTTGGTGGACTTAGAAATTAAAAAATTGGGCTCATGACAGCGTTACCACGAACAAGGAGATAAATGTATGGAAACATGTGATGGCATGGCTAGTTTTATATATTAATCGATACTAAGCCCATGTCTACCAGCTTTACTTTGTTATGGATAATGGGGTCCACGCCAGACAGTAAGCTGACGAAATGCAAGAAAGAACAGTAATTTTTTAATTCCAGGCTAAAGTCTTATACGCTATCGTATGACAACGGAAATAAGCGCGTTGATTAAAAAGTAAATAAAGGACAAAGTAGAAATAACGGAACCCCAGTAATGGTCTGAGGAATTGTTGTTGGCAGTGTTATGTTCGTAACAGCCCTCAAATGAATGTCAAGATAAAACCTCGTATGAAACGACCCACAGTTCACTGACAGTTAAGTCGGTGCTTTTTCGTACTGACAGCTTAAACATTCGCTAGTCCCACGCTGAGTAGTCGCATATTCAACCGAGAACACTTATTGTCCTTATGGTTTGCTTTTGATATACATTCAAAATTTTCGACTGGATTCACAAAGGTCGACGTCTCTCAAATGCCAAAAATTTATTATTTAGGCTTTTTTAATTGAAGACCTCTGTTACAATCTTAAAATTGTGTTTCATATCAACCGTATCAGCCAAAAGCTTTGCATATAACTGGCAAGCATATTTCCCTGTGAGTCGTATCACATACGTTACCATAATTTAGACTTGTTGTCAATCATGTTTGTTCAATCTAACAGAGTCATTTATGTCCTGCCTATTGTCAGTCAACCTGTCTAAAGTCGAAATAAAAATTTACGTACGATGATGACAGCAGAGAGGTTTGAGTTCTCTGTGCTTAATGCTCACGTATCTTTCCCGCTGATGGAAGTTTCAGTTTAGGCGTGACAGTGACACTGACGGTGGCTTTGCTGGTTCAGCTTATAGTTCGCTTGCGTTGGTCACCTTTTTAGTTTTTCGGGTCTTATGACGTTGATTGCGAATGCGGTAACCGTTTCTATTACACCGATAGCAAAGCAGTTGGTTTTTCAGTAGCAACAAATGATATTTTTGCATTTATATCCAGGCCCAACTTCGATACGACGGTTAGCATAGAGTTGTTAGCGCTGGGGGTTTGAAAATGTGAGTTTGAGGAAAAATGGGGTGTTGGTAATCGTGTATTCGGTGTGCGAGTTCCATGCAGTGTTTGTGTTGACGTCTAACGCAATCTTACTAGTGATGTTTGTCCTTGTTGGTTGTGCTGAATATCTTAACGATTGTGATAACTCTGGCGTTTCTTTTAACTAAAGGTAAGAGCTAACCATAAACCCGTAGACGCGAGTCGCATTTTCGCCTACAAGTAAGCCAAAATCATGAAATCATCTACTCCTGTATTTCTGTTTAAATGTCTCGATATACGGTCATTGCATTTAATTTCATCGTGTGTGTTATGATGTTTCAACTTATCTTGCCCAAACTTGGGTATTGATGATGTGGCAATCTTAAATTCCAGCGTATGGTAATTTAAATAGAAAGAGTTTCGTACTGTAGCAAAGTGCATTTTATGAGGTAGTGTAACGCTGGGTATATAAGGGAATACCAAGAATGCCAAGAAACTCAATCACTTCCATCTCAGCTGTCTTTGCAGAACAATACACCTGATATGGAAAGACAAGATCTCCGGCGCGGAACTCCTAGAACGGACTGACATCCTCAGAATTCACGCCATGTTGAGCCAACTGCAGCCACGTTGGAGCGGCCATCCCGCGACGATAGAGGACACACGGCTATCAACACAACTCTTCTGTTATGTCGCCACCGGTGGTCGCCAACCTGGAGGACTAAAAAGACGTTACGAGCACACATTGAAGAATTCACTTAGACGATCGCGTATCAGCCCAGAGGCCTAGGAGGACCTCGCTATGAACAGATCGGCCTGGAGAAGAGAAGTAAAGACTAGCACTGTCATCTACGAAGCAAATCGAATCACCGCCGCAAAGTTAAACGACGGGCTCGCAAATCCCAACTGCCTCGCCTCCTCTGTGCCAACCATCCCCAGCTTCCAATTTCGCCGTGCTGCCAACGCACATTCCTCTCACAAATCAGCCTCGTTGGACACCTTCAGACCCAACGCGTCATCAACCCAACACCGTCTACTTCTTCTCTCACTCTCGCCCCTTCCACAAACCCCGCACCGACCCCCACCTCCGTCACCGCCAACTGCACTGTCGCTGCTCCGCCGCCGCCGTCCACATCCGACCTGCCCCAACGTCTGCATCGACCGCAGCGTCCAGCATCAACACCCCCACCACGACATCACGCACTAGTCCCACCGATGGGATAACATCCGATGCCTCATCAACTTCAAACATCACCAACAGCCGCACCTACAGCTATGTGGTCTCGGGTCATACCTGTCCTCATTGCGATCGCACATTAGCCTCACACATCGGCCTGGTCGGTCACCTCTGAATCCATCGCACAGAGACTGGCAAGCCAGTGCCTAGAGCACCAACCTATACTCACCGCATGCGCCTCCACTGCCCTTACGTTCAACGTACATTCACTTGCCTCATGGACCTATTGGGCCACCTGCGCATTCACGAAAACCTGCGGTTTACAACCGTTGGCCAAATGACATATCCCCCGCTAGCACCCGCATCACACGACAATATCACCACTAAGAGCACTCGACTGCCACCTCAAATGCATGCGGAAAGTTTACTTCTCGGCTCCGTCTCCATGCAGCTCCCACGCTGCATGCGAGATCTGAGTCTATGACTATCACGGTGGGCCAGTGCCTTGGCTTTGAAGGCTGCGGACTGACTCCTCAACTCAACCCACCAGTTTTCCCAGTTATGTCTGTTTCTTTGAAGTGGCGGACTGGTGAGCTGAGATTCAGGCTGTAACGGCCCTTCCTAAATTGACCTTTGGCACTCTAAGGCATGTGAGGAGTGTGTGCTACTTAATGGGCAATGCCCTTCAGTCGCCGATTAACACTGTTGCCCACTCTTTGAGGGATGATTTCCCAGGCAAACACAGGGCTGTGTGTCACCCTTTTTGTCGCCAAGGTCTGTGGGCGTGTGCTATGTCGTGGTAAGCAAACTTTGACCCTTGAAGAAGGAGACACGATCGCCGAGACAAGAGCTTTATTAGCCTGACGTTTCGGATTCCTACTCGAATCCATCATCAGAGACAAAAAAACAGAAACGGGTGGTTGCTGCACAAGGGGCTGCGGTATTGATAGGATGCAGTAGCCATGCTACCGCATACCTATGAACGTTCACGGCCCCCCCTTCTTCATCCGAGATCGTCGCACGTGGTGTGATCACTGCTTGATGGCCGACATTCGAGTCGATAATTGCTTCAATTTCATCACGTGCGTTGGATGTTGGCGTGATGATTGCTCGACCATATGACGCACCGACCCCAGTGTTGGGAAAAGTGTTCACCTCCGCGCTCCCCGCATGGCTTGTTACTCCGCCCAGGCGAAATTTTAGCACGTAGTATGGAGTGGGAAGATCGTTGCACTTGTTGATGGACTGGGGGCCAGTAAACCATGACTCCAGTAGCTCCCGGCTCACGCGGTTGTAACCTCTTGCGAGAATTTCGGCTTCATCGAATTTGAATGTGTGGCCGGATCTCGTCGAATGAGCCGCAACTTGAGGGCTGGCGTCATTTCTGCGCACCGCTGCCGCGTGTTCGGCCATTCTCGTTCGGAGCTGTCTTCCGGTTTCTCCGACGTAGTTGCTTTGTCCGCAACTGCACCAGATCCGATAAACGACTTCAGACGTTTCTAGCCGTGGCAGT